TGAAAAATAAAAGTCACCATTACAAGTGGTTCGAAGATTCGATTTCCGAAATTGAGTTTTCCGATTTGTTAGTTGTTTGGAATGGGTGTTGTCTCAGTTGATTGGAATCATCAAGATGAGTTTAAAACTTAAATTTCAAGTGATTTGGAGTAGATTTAGGCTATATTTGAGTTAAATTTCAGAAATTGAGTTTTCCGATTTGTTAGTTGTTTGAAATGGGTGTTGTCTCAGTTGATTGGAATCATCAAGATGAGTTCAAAACTTAAATTTCAAGTGATTTGGAGTAGCTTTTGGCTATATTTGAGTTAAATTTCAGAGGATGCCCAATGAAGAAGAAGAACACGTGAAACTCCATTGATAGGATTCATTTGTATAATAATGTATAATATTGTATAAATAGTATATATAATAGTGTATAAACACAACTTATACACTATTATATCAAAGGTTGATACATTATTTACAGGTATTTGGTGAATTTCTCGCATTTTCTTCTTCTTTTTCTTCTCATTCTTCTTATACACCTATATACATAGTGTATCAAGAATATTTTCACTCTGTGATTATACATCTTTATACACTTTTATACAACTATACATACTGTACCTCTTTGTATAAAAGTATATAACATTGTATAAAAGTGTATAAGCATCACTAACGAAATTTTTGTACGATTTTTACTTGCAATTCTTGTATAAAACTAGTCCAAATCTCCAGCAAATAACTTCAGACTTTGTACAACCTACTTAGACTATTTCTAATAAGTTCAAACAATACCCACTCCAAATTTCTCACAAAATCATAATCGAAATTTAACAAGATTAGCATTAAAGGAGACGAGATTTTAGGTTTCTTGCGTCTGTTTTTGCGTTTCGCTGTTGTGATAGATATGTATAAACCTGAAGATATACAAAAATTTAAAAAAAAACAGAGAAGTATTAGTTATGGACGAATGAGTGTTGATTGAATGGGGAACTAATTTTTCTTTTCAGTTTTTTTGCATATGATTCTTTTTCATTTATTAAATTAAATATTTATTGGTGAAAAATGAGGAGAGAGCTACAATAGTAGGAATAAATGAGGTTGTTATAATTAGATGGAATGAGAAAAGAAAAGATCATATTGATATTTGGCTACACATTTGCAAACTTATAACTGGGCTAAAATAGTGTAAGGTCAAGGCATTATTCTATAATTTTGTCATATTAATATATCAAGAAGTCATTAACTATGAGTGATTGAGTTATGGAGATTGGAATACCATTTGATATGTTGAATAGCCAAGGAGCCTCTTAGAGGCTAATAAGAGTAGCGACATTTCACAAGATCATATACATACCACATTGTTTGGGAGAACTCCAAACCCGTACATCTTGCATAATATCTCTATGTTGTTGTATTAGCATTCCAGTATTTTATAAATCTATACCTTTCAGACATTTCCTCAAATAAGAGTACAACCTTTCCAAGTGGTCCTGTTTAGCGTATCCCTTATACTAAAAAAAAAGTGCAATGTGATTAAGAGATAGATCCATTTAGCTGCTTCACGAGGATATTTATTATTATCTTTTTGTCGAAATTTCTTATGAAATACTAAAAGTGATTTTAACTATTACTAACTCATATGGTAGTTGTCATGGCAATGATGGCAATATGGCCTGGGTACTTCCGCCAACAGTTGCCTGGTAAACAAGCTTTTAAAGGGAGAATTTGCCAAAAAGCTCTTCACCTTTTCATTGGAGAAACTCTCTGTATTTGCTGATTCTACAGTTTTATCTCTGTTGGGTTTCTATTCTTTCTATTGTTCCTTTCTTATAAGATATTTTACATTGAGAAAGAGTTCCTTTATACGTTTTACCTTATAAAAAGAAGTATCTTTTATACAAATCAAAATCTGTAACATCAAAGTGCTAGATGTTTCAAAGCTTATTTTCTGTATTCCTTAAATATATTATACTAGGAGGATTACAAGTCTGTTGCACAAGACAACTATGATATTGGCTGAAGAGAGTATGGTAGTAGAGGTTCCCAAGATTTAGGCTGCCTAAGGTCCCATTTTCTGGTGAGTTGCACTGCTGCTAGAAATTTTTATTGATTTCTTTATGTTTTTGCTCTGTAGCATATTGTAATGAAGTTAACTTTGTGGTAGGCAGTGAAGTGAAAGCTGCAACTGACAAAGCTTTGAGAATATTCCCTATAGTGAAGGCAGGAACATTGTGCCTCATATGTTTAAATGGTGGTGAGCATGCAGAAACCGTGAGAATTGCTATATTGGATTGTGCCTCTGCCTGAACAGTGAATACATTAGTTTTTTCTGTTTGTTCTCTTTCGATAAAGCGACTTGCATTCCAGATTTTGACAGGAGTTAGAGCACCCCTTTTAGAGTGATAGGTTGTCACCTTGGTCAAGGCTCCTCAATAAATTGATGGCTAAGCTATTGTTCTGCTGAGTATGTTCATGATATTTACACATCTAAGTTCTGATTATTTCCTACGATATCTCATCACCAATTAAACAGGCTGTTTCTTTTTCTCAATACTATTTGCCATTGTTCTTGATGAAACAATGAATTTGCTGGATTTCATAATGTTGAAGTTGTTTCGGAAGGTAATAGAGTACAAGAGCTGTTAGAAGTTTACTTTATGATTGTTCCATGAAGAATTGATAGCTACCAAAGATGAGAATTTTATGGAAAGTCTTCTCTATATTACTAAACATAATAAATGATTTGTTGTTTGTTGCTTGATCTTCACCAAGAAATAGCACTTTGATGCAAAAGTAGCAATTATGATGCAAATTCATTTAAATTAAATTTGAACTCGCTCAAAAACCACACCAGATAGCTGAAATAAAAATGGACAGTGCAAAAAAAAAAAGGCAAAGGTAACATCTATTGCATAAGGTGTCACCTCTTCTCTGGGTTCGCCCGTACCAGACAATCATTATGCAATTTTATCCATGCAAAATGAAATGACATGGAAGGAAACCTCACATTTATATTTAAGCTTCCGCTGCTGATTGTGGAGATGGTTCTTGAGGTGAGAAGCCTATAACAACAATTGTCGTTTTTATTTGTCATGTTCTGTTGGTAGGCGGAATTTTGTACAGTCTGAAATATTTCATCAACAATATATGAATCATTAATAAGTGCAAGTTTTAGAAGACTATTAGAAAACGACAGTCTAACTATAATACAAATATATCTATGGTGAATAGTGCTATGTATTGTCAATGTAACACCTATGTAAAATACCACTGACGGTTCTTGTTGATATACAGATGTCGATGATAAAGTAGTCTTTCTTAAGGAAAAAAACATATTCAGATAGTTCATAATTTTGTTCACAGCCAGCGAAGAAGATACACATAAAAATGAAAAAAAGTTAGTAAATTAGTCAGAATCCTGTTAGTAATAGATGAATAGCAAGACTAACGATCCAAGTGAGTTTTCCCATTTGATTTTGGTTTAAAAAGGAGGGTCATGTGACTTGCTTAAGACATTATAAAGCACCTCATAAAGAAAGATTCCTAGGCGGAAAATTCATATATTGTCCTTTCCTATTGGTGCAGGAGCAAGTGAGAACGTGGAGTATATGTAATAACATGCACCTTAATTTCAATAGGAAATTTACAATCTAACAACATAATTTTGCAGGGATTTCGCATAAACCGGCCATGAAAATTAGTAATTGTAACACAATAACAAAATAAATTAGCTTACCTTATATAATTCAAGTACCAATTATTGTTTCAAAAAGGATCATCCCAGCTTATTGCAAAGATCTACTTCATACTTGATACGACTTTTTCAACACAATTCCAGCTTCATTTGTGAACATCTTGTCACGCCAGTCAAGCTTCATTAAGTTGGTACGTAGTCCAACTGCTTGTGAAAGAGATTATACACCTTACAATCATTGTAGATGAGACCTTAAGTCCTCAAACATTGGAGAGGGCTTCATAAGTTCAGAGAAAGCAACAACACCCTTATCTCCTCTCATGTTATTGTAAAAATGAAGGACCTGCAGTTTGCAAGTTGAGGGAATCAGTTGGCACTTCGCACGCGGCATGTGCTATAACCAAACCAAACATTATACCTCTTTTTGGTTTTGTACGGATATTTCACCCCATTTATCTTAGAGTATGCCTTTCGTTTTACATTAACTTGGGAATACACATAAAACTGCAATTAACATTGTTATATCCAACTAACCACCATGAAAGTTTGTATAGAAAAGTGTAAAGCTAAAAGTATAATAAAATGCAGTTATTTCATCTCTTAAACAAAAGGCAGAAACTGATAAGTGAAAGCAGCACCAACAGTTGCAACATCAGTAGTACAACGTACCACTCTCCTTGTGCATGCATAAATAAGATTTTGATCTAGTGATGTTTACGTCTTCTCCAGCAAACAACAAGAAACAAAAGTGAGCGGATGTGCAATCACAGTCTCAAACGGAAGGTGGAAACTCCCACTGTGTTTTTTCCTTATCCACCCCAGCAACTTAAGCATCAGTCAAGAAAGAATCGGCTAGGTTTTTTTCCCAATGCTGATTAATAAATCAATTTATAATTCTATGATAAATGGATCACACATAGTGAGCCGAACAGAAATAGCAGAAAAGTTATTCTCCAAGTAGATCTAGGAGAAACAATCCACATAAACCACAAATCATATAACCTTACATACATCAATATAACATACTATTAAGTATTCCTTCCATTGTCTCATAACTTTTCATGTGCTATTAGTTCTTTCCGCATCTCGATATCGGCCTGTTTGATTTCATAATGCCAAAGCAGGGGATCAACAGTCCCATATAGGCACCGCATAAAGCACCTAAATTCATAATGATCAAACAACTTATACTCCTTTAAAATTGTAGGTTTATTATTTGTTACTATAATATATAGACTGAACAAATAGAATAAACTTTGTATGTTCAATACAAATAATGAAAAATAAGGCAACTAAAAAAAATCAATTAAAACAGTCTTAATAGCAGAAGTGTTCTCATGTGGGAGTTTCTTATTGCCACTTAAAAGAGCTCAACTAACATAGCTACATTCAACCCAAAAAAAGTTTATGACTACAGTCTAAGTTCCATGAAAAGTTTTACAGGAAGTTAGAAGCTGAAACATATCTTGTTGTTTCATCACTCCTACAAAGGAAGATACTATCAACTTACAGTAGCAAGAACATTGGCAACATAAGTTGAACAGAATTGGCACTTGTCTTTTGCCGCAAAAATTTAATCTTGAATGATATTATTTTCCACTTTTTCAACAAACAATAGGAAATTAATTGGGTAGCTGCACTTAAAGCCACAACAGAAAAGTTGAAAATTCCCATTGCATGATGGTTGCAAAGTTTGTGGCGTACAGTGAAGAGGAAGTCAAGTCTTTATGGGGTAACAATGTCGATGAATTCTGCTAGTGCATGTTATTCCTCTTTTGGCCTTTTAGGTAAAGATGTCCATAAACCAAGAGAGGTTGTAATCTTGTATGGCCCTTGAAAATCCGGAGGACCGAGTGCCGTCCACGCCTGGTTGTACTCATAACTGCATCAGGTCTCCAAGGTGAACAGCTTCTGGTCCTACCAAAAGAGCTTTCTTGAAGTAGTTTGAGTCCATTTACTTTCAAGTTATTTTCATCACATAACACTAACAGTAGTACTTGCTTAAGTTACCTAATTACCAACATTGGAGAAATAGAAGGAAAAAAAATATTCATAAGCACGCAAGAAGAAGATATGAACTGGACATGATGAAAGTAAAACCAAATTGACGCCTACTTTAAGCCAAAAGAAACATTTTTGTAAGGTTATTATCCTGGAACCTTACACTACTATTAAAATTAAAATACAATTAACCAAAACCATGATAATCAATGTGAAAAATTGAAATAACCCAAAAAGAATCTTAATAGTTTTTTTAGGAAGTAAAAGATTCCTCCATTACCTCTTTATATGAGCAGCCCACATATCACTATGAAGCAGGTTCTTTGCAGCCTTCACCCGTTTTCTCCTGTACTCACTGGTTTATACATATATAAAAAAAGGAATATCGCAGTAGAGTTAAAAATGCTAACAGTCAATGAGAAATGAAATTACAAGAAGAGATAACTCAGAACACGGAAATAGCAACAGGCTATATATACTAGTATTGCTCAATTTAAAAGAGAACATAGATATTTACTTAATGAAATCAGGATTTTTCAATAATTAGCACGTTTACGCACTCGTCACCTCACGTACACGGCTTTCATATAACAACAGCACCAAAATCCTAAGGGGAGTTCCCCCACACAAGGTTAGGCAAGCCACTTATCTCGAACCAACTCAAAATCAATCTGATATCACGCTCTTGCCATGACTTCCAACTCCGAGTGACCTAAATCTAATCAAATCAATTACATAACATAAATATAACTACAAGCAACTAATTTAGCTAATGAATTTAAAGCTAAGACGAGAAAATAAGAAAACGCCCAAAAATCCTCCCCGGGAACTTGTCTCGGAATCGGGTAAAAGTTACCAATTTAGAACACCCATTCACTCATGAGATCACTCATCCAAACAATATTCAATTTCGATACTTAAAACCCGATCAAAACCCAAAAACTCGATTGGGGAACTTTTACCCCAAATTCTCATTTTTTTCCCACTCAAATTCCTTGATTAGATTGAGAAAATTACTATAGATTGATGAAATATAAACGAAAAAGGGTTATAAATCGTTACCCACTGATTTCCTCTTCAAAAATCTCACAAAATTGCCTTCCACGGAGCTCCAAAAGTCCCAAAATTGAAAATGCGATAAAACCCTCGACTTGGCCCTTTGTCTGCCAGAGATCCCACTTCTGTGAGGGGGCCACCGCATCTGCGGCCCGCACCTGCTTAAAAATTATTGCAGGTGCGAAAGTCACTTATCCGGGCTGGGGCCGCATCTGCGTTCACTGGGCCCCACCTACGTTTCCGCATCTGCGGTCCCCCAGCCGCATCTGCGGTTCCTCATGCCAAACTCATTTCCGCTTCTGCGGTCCACCTACCCGCTTCTACGGCACCACACCTGCGGTCCAACATCCGCAGGTGCGGAAACAACAGGTTTAGCAACTTCAGAAAATTGCCTAACCCCCAACCAAGTCCGTTAAGCATCTGAAACTCACCCGAGGCCCCCGGAACCTCAACCAAAGATACCAACAAATCCTAAAACATCATACAAACTTAGTCGAGCCGTCAAATCACATCAAACAACGCTAAAACCACGAATCACCCTCCAATCCAAACCTAATGACTTGAATTTCCAAAATTCCACAACCGACGCCGAAACCAACCAAATCATGTCTGATTGACCCCAAATTTTGCACACAAGTCACATTCACCACTACAGACCTATTCCAACTTCCGAAATCGGATTCCGACCCCGATATCAAAATTTTACTATCGGCCCGAAACTCTAATTCAACTTTCGCCATTTCAAACCTAAATGAGATACGGACCTCCAAAACATGATTCGGACACGCTCCTAAGCCCGAAATCACCCAGCGGAGCTAACAAATCGACGGAATTCCATTCCGGAGCCGTCTTCACACTGCTCCGACTATGGTCCAATTTCTAAGACTTAAACTCTTATTTAGGGACTAAGTGTCCCAAGACACCCTGAAACTCAAGATGAACATCTCTAATGTGGACAAAGAGATGAGTCTTTTACCAAATTCGCATCCGATAAAATTGACTAAACTACAATAGGAGTTCATAAATAAATTCTTTCAAAATACTCTTGATGCACCATCTAACAGAGTTTAAATTCAAGGAAACCTATAGGTATCCTAATAATAATAGAGCAGTACAAAAAGTTAATCAATCACAAGAATTACTCTCTCTCCTACAATAAACTTCTTGCTAATCTTGCATCACCTATTAAAATTATCTATAGTAGACTTCCTATGCAAATGTCCTATTTTACCCAACTAAAATCAGAAACGTATATCATACAACCAAGTATCTATTTTAAAAATGAATGTGAAAAAGAGCTGCATGCATGTAAAATATTCACCAAATTTTCTAAATAAGAGGAAAATTAAATAACACATATCTATCAAAATATCATCGCTGCGGAATTAGTGCAATAAAGGGAAAAAAAACTCACTGCAATTCACAGGTACATAGGAGGTGAAAAATAAAGAACAAATGGAGAAATCTGGAAATCGAACCAAAAGATAAAAAAGCACATAATAGGCGATAGTTGAGTGCACATCTTTGCAAACCGTGTGACCTACCAGAGTTTGCTATAGATTTACCTCTTACTTTATAACTCAATAATATCTATTTTTGTATGCCTCCCAATTTCAGTTTCTTATAATTGAATGGTATTTACTTGCATTTTGAAGGTACTCCCAAAATTCTCTGTGATGTGGCTTTTGGAATGGCAAAGGTCAGGCTACCAAGTTGCTCCTACCCATAAAAAATGATGATTCTAAGATGTGCTTTGGTTGTGTTTGAAGATGCTTACATTTTCTATAGTTTTGGGTATTATTATATCTCAGTTATTAGGTAGTTGGTTTTGGATATTATGTCTTAAGTAATAGTATCCCTAATTATGTCATGTAATACATCAATTTGCCCATAAAAATCAGGTAGAATTCAAAGAAATTTTATTTGGGGCACCACCCCAAATAGAAAAAAAAATGCACCTAATAAATTGGCTAATAAATTGGGATAAGGTTACAAAAAAGAAGGCCAATGGAGGGCTAGGGCTCCAAAAAGCTGAATTGAAAAACAAAGCAGCCCTTGCAAATCTGGCCTGGAGGATTTATCACAACACATCAAGCTTATGGGCTAGAGTTTTCATCTCTAAGCACTGTAATTGGAACTATACACCTAGAACCCTTAGATCCCCTAAATCTCCCACCTGGCAATGCATCCTAAAGGGCTGGATACTTGCAGGAAGGCTAGCAGATGGATTGTTCACAAGGGAAACATGGTTAGCTCCCTGAATGATGCCTGGATCCCCAACCAACCATCCATTAGGGACATGATAGAAGGCCCTCTTACTCAAAATGACATAATTGCCAAAGTAGACACTGTCTACAACTAGGGAATTGGGATCTCTCCCCATCTTTATAGATCTGCCCCCAAGTATCTCTAACATGATCAATTCTATCTTCATCCCTCTAAACCCTACCAAAGATGACAAGCTAATCTGGGAACTGACTCCTAGTGGGTCCTTCACCAACAGCTCTGCCTACACTTTCCTTAGCAAAACCAAAAATAATGTTGAAATGGAGGAGGAATGGAACTTTAATTGGATCTAGAAATTGCAAGCACCCAACAAACAAGCGACCACATCTTCTTTGAATGCATTAATGCAGCCCAGTTCTGGCAAAAATTGCTATCCAAGGCCTCTACTGAGAGTAGGCAACAAAACCTCATCTTTTCATCTCAACAATGGGCTTTAACTTGGAACAAGCTTAGAAACATACCTTTTAATGATCACATTCCTTGGGTTAACATCCCTCATTTCTGTTTCTGGCATATCTAATTATGCAGAAACCACAACTTGTTCAACAATGAAAAAGATAGAATCAACATTACCAACACCATCTCTAAAGCAATTAAATACTTTATGTTGGTAAAAAAATGCAACCATCAAAAAAATATTCCAAATCAATGTAAAATGGGAGCCCCCCAGAAGAGGTTTCTTTAAGCTGAATACAGATAGGGTAGCAAGGGGTGACCCAGGCATAGGAGGAATAGGTGGAGTATTCAGAAACCACAATGGGGATTGGATTATGGGCTATATGGAGAATATACCACATACAACCAACACTTTGGCAGAATTGAAAGCCCTCCTACAATGCTTGGGTCCCTTTAGACATCAACATCGATTCGGCAGAAATAATACAAATGTTACTTACAGGTAACCTAACATATGAACTTATGATTTGTGAATGCATGTTGTTAAATACAAAGGATGGACAGGGTCGTGGTAAGGCACACATACAGGGAGCATAATAGAGTGGCAGACGCAATGGCAAAAGAGGCAGCAAAGCCAACTTTTTTGGGTAGATCCAGCTTACTAGCAGTTCCTCCGATGTTTGCAAATGATGTATTTTGGGCAGACATCCTAGGAAGTGAAGTTGTTAGGGACTTTTTTCCATGTAATGAAACTATATCTCAAAACATTGCGCTGCTGGGGGAACTACAGTACCCCAGCAATGACAGTACTCTGTAATGTACCTTTGCTTATTAGTTATATAAACATCCACCCTTTTAACCAAAAAAAAAACATGAGTAGATAGGTGGTTAGGGGAGGGGGGGAGAGGGCCGGTTGGGCCTGCCTTTTCAATCAATCTCCGGCGACTGAGTGCCGCTATTGGTACGCTTGGTCTCGAGTCAAGCTGATTCAGGCTTGCTTGTCTCGCTCTCATATTGGGAGGCTAGGTTTGGAACCCTCTAGGAACTGAATCACTAGAAAGACCTCTTCTTTCGTTTGAGAGACATATGAGTTAAATTAAAGAGGGATGGTTTCGACAAATATAAATTTTTGAAAAAGGTAAACTTGTTCTGAAAAAGTTAATTCTCTGCTTCAAAGAAGAAGCTATACATTTCTGCTTCTTCGTAGCTTAAAAAAATATGCTCAAAATCAATTGTTTTAATTCAAAGATTAGCCAAATATCTTATATCTTTATAATAAACCGTTTTAAATTTTCGGTGAAAAAATTGATTTGCCCTGCACAAATATCCTGCTATTCTCAAATTCTCATTAATTTTCCAAATAATTTTGCAAACCTATCATTTTCGAAAATTATCGTGTATGGAAATTGTCATAATGCAAAGTGTTTAGTGTTTTAAGACCAAATGAGCAACATAAATGTGAAAACCGGAAGCACTTTTCTTGAATTAGTAAGTTAAACATGAACCTTCATATGTCATAGATTTCTGTAAAAATAGCACGGTATAGCCAGTTTTCGGACTGGTCAATCAAAAATAGCCAGCATTTACCAAGTCAATGAAAAATAGCCACCATTTTGCTGCAATAGAGACCGCTCCATCATAATATACTGGAGTTCGGTTCACTTGTGTATGAACTCCAGCATATTATGCTGGACCGGTATACTTTGCTGGCTCCAGTATAATATACTGGAGACTGGAGCACTGGTGCTCCAAACTCCAGTATATTATACTGGACCATTATACTTGCTGGAACTCCAGTATATTATGCTGGAGTTCTAGTGTATTTATGCTGGAACTCCATCATATTATGCTGGAGTTCCAGCATACTATCCTGGAACTCCAGTATAATATGCTGGAGTTCAAGTATANAATGTGAAAATCGAAAGCACTTTTCTTGAATTAGTAAGTTAAACATGGACCTTCATATGTCATAGATTTCTTTATCGTTGTGGGTAGGTTAAAAATTATCGAACTGAAATTTGCAACTTATATTTTTTTGTCACCTTCTATCAGCTACTTGCGGCCATATTTTCTCAAATGCAGTACAGACAACAAAAAATTAACAGTGGAAAACTTACCTTGAGTTTCAGCCTTTAATTTTATCGTCAATTTCAGCACAACATTAAAGAATTCGATAACTTTCACCAATTCTTCCTCAATAAATTACCTGGAAGTTGAAAAAATGTCACAAGGAAAATATATCATCTCACAGCATGACTCCCTAACATTTAAACATTTATCAATTTTTTTCTTGAAAATTTTTAAATGAAAAAGATATCACAGGAAAAAGTATCTAGTGAAAACTATAAGTCATCTAAGTTTTCATGTCAACAAAAAGTTAGAGAAGTAGTAATATTGCTACTGTAGAATTACGCATGCAAGCAAATAAAATACCGTTACAAAAGAACCACAAAACTTAAAGTGATTCTAGAAACACTCATGTGTTAACCCCTTGTCGAAACAGGGGCAGAATATTAAGGATAAAAGAGAGCACATGCACAGTAAACAGAGCGAAACCATAATTCAGCTCCATCGACCTAGCACACACAAGTCTTCCTTTTGCTAGGGAAATTCGTCAAACACGTTGGCCGCATAAATTAACTTTAAAAATATCCAAACGAACAGAGGTTAACTAACAGATGCCCACCAAAATTCCATTAGCAACAGGGCGCATTTAAGAAAAGAAGCAAGAACTACCACAAAAAAATAATAATTCACCACAACTGTAATGCACATGCCAAAGATAACATGAAACTGAAATTGAGAAATTAAGGCATATTGATAAGAAATCGTTTGACTATAGATCCCATTAGAAATTAAAAGGTACAAAAGGATCAAGACTTAATTTGCAGGTGCAAACTACGATAAACCAACTCTCACTATTCATATCAAGACATAGCGAACACATGCAACGCAAAATACGATACATTCAAAATCACAAAGCACTAGACCTCGAAATTTTACATTGATGATTGAAACATACACATGACTTATAAAACAGAGGAAATCGAAGATTCACTAATGAAATCCACCAAAAACGAAGAAAAAAAGAAAGAGGAAGAAGAAAACGAACCCGCCGGAGAACTGAGCAAAGAAACGAAAAAATTTCCTCTCAGATTCAACATCGTCTGATGAAAATAGTGAAGGCTCAATAGGAAGAGAAAGAGCAGCAGGCAAAATGAATAAAAGCAGAGAACTGAACGAAGAAGATGGTCAAAATGTTAGTAGCTTCTGGAATAGTGAGGGCCCAATATAAACGTAGGAAGAATGCAATTACCATTAAACCCACAATTGGCAAAACTTTAAGTCATAGAGGGCAGGGGCATAGTTGACAAAACATAAAGCAAATAATTTTTTTGAAACCCCGAACTTACCCATGTTCGTACTCCGTTCGTACATCTTAACTCTCACTTCAAAATAATGGTAAAATAGATGATAACGGAATCAGATGTACAACCAAGATGTACAACCAACTTTTAAGGTTCTTAGTATTGAACCCATCATATTTTTGAAACTATGAGTTCATATCTACTATGTGTTACAATTTTAATAAATTTTTACACATAAATTTATGCTCTATGTCGAAAATTATGAATTCAATTGAGCACGTTCATATAATGTTACATCCACCCCTCACCGGAATAGGGTGAGGGTGATTGTCTTCACAGAAAAACAGCGGTGTATATAATGTTTATACAGCATTGGAATATACTAAAAGTTGTTGGTTGCTTGCTTGATTGGAAGCAAATTCTAATTCTTATTGTTCTTGTTAGTACTAATGAGAATCATTTCTTGAAAATGTTGTCGTCCAAAGAGTTTTAATTCGTTACTTCTTTGAGAGAAGTGAAGATATGAAGGAGATCAAAAGGAATATGCATGTTAGTCAAAATAGAGAGTTATCACAGACAGGCGGAAGCTAGGAGTTTAAGATGATAAGTGCACTTCTGTGAAGAGGTGGATCTAGAATTTATATTTGACGGATTTAATTTTAGTCTTTTATTATGAATCGACTACACTTTTAAAATTATAGGTTCAAAATGCTATTTTAGTTGACTTTTAGTGATTTTCACTCACTCACACACACACACACACACACACACACACAC